TGGCTGCCTCCAACACTGTAAGCAAACTCTGTGTGGGGCTTATTCACAAATAAGCATAACTGCTGAGTTGCTTTCAGCTGCCTTTATACACTACTAGTAAAAGGTTTAGAGTCACTTTCCGATTGTATTGAATGGGAGAGTATGCTAGAACTTTTGACTGGTAGTGTAGATACCATGAGTTGTAACAGAAGCTGTAAATTTTCTTTGTTTTTCAGTCCACCCCGTCACCATCAGCAGACCTCCTTGGGATTCGTTCTGCTGCTCCTGTTGGTGCTGCTCCATCCAGCGCTGGCAGCTTATTGGTGGATGTGTTCTCTGAGGCAGGGCCTACCGCACCTTCTGCTGCTGTGAATGACGACGGCTTCCTAAGGTGAAAGGTCTTCTCTTGATGAGCAGAGGTAGAATTCATTGTAAGCTGAAGTCCAGTATGAGTGGCTGCAGCAAAGCTAGCTAATAATGCTCCCTAGCTGCCAGAGGAAAGAGCAGGGCAAATTAAACTTGATTCACTACACTTTAGCCAGTACCAGTCCATTAAGATATGCACGTTGGCTTAGAGATTGATACTTAGGACCAGCTCAGGATGTCACTAATTTCTGCTGTACTGCTGCCTTCGCTCACTGAGTTTACGTATTTCAAACTTTAGATTGACTTATTATAAAGACTAGAATCAGTTCAACTTTGTAATAAAATCTCTTTCATCTGTCACTCAGCTGTTACTTTGCCTGTATGTTTTTTTTTTTTTTTTTTTTAATCATGCATTTGTAAAAATCTAATTGGAAGCCCAGTTATGCATATACATAACAGAGAAATCTACCAGGGGAATAGGGTTTCTCTAATCCCCTGCCTTGACTATGGAAACCATATTTCACAAACGTGATGTTTATCAGCTTACTGAGGAATGCTCAATGTAACCTGCTTATCTAAATGCATGTAGACACTTGTTTACTGCGTCTCATACTTGACTGGACCAGTCTGCTCTTGGCACTTTAATGACGAAGCACAGTGAATTTATCACCTACTGTTGCTTCCTGTCTTTAACTGTTCATGTAAATAATTTTGGTGTTTGTGTTGCGTTTGTGCTGCTTGTCTACTAGTTGTGATGTGTCGATGTTGCTTGTTGCTGTGTTGTCTCTATCATTCTTTGCTCCATCTTTGTCTATTATAGACCTGCCAGATTCGACTAGTGGTGGCAGAAATGCTGTTACTTTTTAAAAATATTCGCTGTTGAGATACCTTAGTCAGCCACTCAGGGCCTCTCCTTGTCTTTTTGCTATTGGCTGCTGTTTCAAGTGGAGACAGTCCTGGTTTAAGTCATAGTAGTTTTAAACTCATTGTTTAGGTTAATGTTTGAAATGTCAGGTTGACAAACAAGGTTATGGTGTAGAAGTGAGCATAATGTCAGCTCGTGTTAAAAGTAACATGTACACAGTTTATAGGATAAAAGCACAAGTGTTTTCAATGAGCCCCTCAATAAGTAATGCTGAAGCAAAGCTTAATTATACAGTGGTGCCAACCAGGAAGGAGCTGATCATCAAAGTTTGGCAATAACAAGTGACAATGTCATTACTACTCGGTAGTGCATGAGTACAGCTTCACATTTGGTGGTAGTGTTAACAGTTGCAACGCAGAACAGCTGAATAGTAGCCCCTTTTACACAGAAGTCGCTTTAAACCGCCTTGATTTTGCCCTCCTTTAGGGCAGCTTTTTTGATTTATGCCCTTTTACACCAAACTTAAAAATACTGGTGAGCTTCCACTCCTGTGTTCATTTTACACAGCTGCTGGAATCCCGGTACTAGAGGTGTGATGCTTATCATGACCTCTGGCGGTCCATGTAGGGCACGGCCATTTTGAAAATGAAACAAACGAGTTGTCATCTGATTGTTTTTTATAAATGGAAATCAGGAATAACAGTAGACTATGATGTGCATCCAGTTTCAGGTCTGTGTGCGAGTTTAAGGTCAGGGCTACACACACGCACACTGCACAGCAAAACAGACAGAAGCATGTGTTCTGCCTGCATTCACACAAAATCCTTCCCACGGGGCTGTGCAGAGATGTAGCTGTGTTTATTCCTGCTTTGGAACATAACCACAGTGAAACAATCACAAAATAATGGTTAAATTCTTGTATTTATTTTGTTCTCGCTACTACAGCTCTCTTTCCTCGTTCACTCTCTAGCTCACTCTCTCTCATTCCGGCAGACCTCCAACCCAATTCTACCTTGTCCCATTTATACAGGAGGAAGGGCGAACTCATCTTGACAAAAATACTACCCCTTGTTCCCGGGCTTTGAAGGCCTTGACACCCCCCACGCCGGCAATGTGCCTTTTACACAGAACAGTGAACTCTTGCATTGAATGAATGGGCAGTGTAAAAGGGGCTTATGTTGACTCCACACATGAACGAAGCTGAAGCTAGTGTAGACTTTTCTCCATGGTTGGCAGGTCTACTGCACTTGTCTGTTCTTTTTATCTTGCTGTGTATGTGACTGTCTTTCGTCTTTTTCTCTCCTTCTCTCCATTTCCCTGTGTGTTTGTGTGTGTGTCTGTGTGTGTTATATGATTTGAATGCGTGTCTGTCTCCTGTCCTCTACCGTGATTGGACATTGACAGAGATCTGGAACAGCCCACCGAGACCTCTGATTCCCTATTGGTGGAGGGTTCTGGTGACTTGGAGTAAGGGCCCAGTAGTAAACTACAGAATTAGCTAGAAACCTGCATATATTGCACTTCCATGTTGTCTTTCTAGAAAATGCTGTTTTATCTTCAATTGAACATGCCTTACACTAGAGTGAGTGGGTAGTTTGATGCCTTCGAGCCATTTTGGTTTACATAAAAGTACCTGACTTGCTCTGCGTATATAAATGGATGACAAATTAAAGGAAAATCCTAGATAAATGGGTAACAATTATATAAAAATGCAGGAGATTTCTAATTTGCTGATTATTTTCTTTATCAGTTTATTCACAGAATGTCAAAAATTGGTAAAATTATCATTTTGACTTTCCAGAGTCAAAGGTGGCATCTTCAAATGTCTTATTTTGTCCAGCCAACAAGTCCAAAGATATTCACATGATTCTTATGTACAGTATGTCAGAAAAAAGTATCCATTCCTCACATTAAAATTTATGCTTCAAAATAGATGCTGGTTAATTTTCTGTCAGTGAATTGACTAATAGTTGTAGCTCTAGGCTGGTGAATGGCATAGTGCAGTGGTTCCCCAGACTATTTCTACTGGCCCCACCATCATACATGTCAGTTATATTTAGCTGTAATCCCCCATTTTGGGAATGACCGTATTAGAAAGGATGAAGAAGTATCTTGTATGTACGTATGCTTTGGATTATATAGTACATTTTTCTTCATTTCCCTAGTTTGGGTCAAAATGGATCCCAAACTGTTCCCTGACAAGAAAATATATCAAATGTACATGTGTGAACGTACAGTGAGGTGGAAATATCAGAGTTGGATGCACAGTGTACTAAAGTTGTACTATGTTCACCAGTCAGTGTTTTTATTGAAAGATTCTGATGCTTCTTGTTTGACTGTTTGTTACCAAATTGTGTCAGTAATATACTGTATGTGACAATTTGTCATAGCAATGATAAGGACAGTTGGATTCTCTAAAGAATAGATTTTAACATTACATAAAGACACTGGTATTACTTGTACATGAAGCACATTAGGTGCAATTTACTGTATGTTGACCAAAAAATAATGCACGTTTGCATGAAATGAGCCCATCAGAAGTCTGAGCCATTGATCTGAAAACTTTCACAAGTTGGAGAATCCACTCAGGCTCTGCCACAATGGGGCTTAGCCACATAAAAGAAAATCTAGCTATTATTTAATGTTTTATTTTCTTCAATATACTTGACTAAACAAGTAAAAAACAGACTGTCCTACTACATGCTGTGCCTGCACTGGATGTGTATTTGTTGCACAGTGTAACTATCTAGCAAATAGTTTGTATTGTATAATATCATTTTTGTGGAAACTGCTTTAACTAACCACCTCTCCTTTTATTCTTCTTTCTTCCTCTCTCATGTTTATTTTAACCAAACTTTATCATGTTGTCACTGTGTTGAATGGATGGCTTTTTTATCTCCCATTTCTTCTTTGCCCATTCATTCCTCATTTGTCCTCTTGCCTGTTGCCTGGGCTGTCCTCATCCCTGTGCTGTCCTGTGGTCTCTCAGCTCTGCTCCTCCCTCTGAGGATCCTGCTCCTCCTCTGTCTGAGGCAGATGAACTTCTTAACAAGTAAGGTTTTTCTGTGTGTGTGTGTGTGTGTGTGTGTGTGTGTGTGTGTGTGTGCATGCATGTGTGTGTAAGTTTTGTCATAGATTTTTCTGGCTGCAGCTCCGCATGATTGCTGTATGATGGGTTTGTCTTCTTGCCATCCACTGGTTTGAGTTTTGCTCAAGTGTAGCCAAGTGACCAACATAGTGCTATAATAACTTGGGAGATAATAAATTGCTGACTGATGGTGGGTTCCAGATTAAAAATTCTTCAAATTTTACACTTTGTTGAGACACCTGGTACAACTGAGAACTATGGCATTTTCAGTTGTCAATAAACCACAGGACCTGGTGATACCACAAAAGACCTGTTCTGCCTGAAGTCCCACTGTGTTATGTTTAGTTCCATTTGGAATAGGGCTGCAGTTAATAATAGCTTTTTATTACAGAGTCATTTCTCAAACATTTTGGTAATTTTTCATTTACAAAGCCAAAGGTTTTTTCTTAGTTTTGCCTATCAGTAGTAAAAAGACCATCTATGTTGCTACTGTGTGGATACTGCATTTACACTCAAGCTAAACAGAGGAATTGCAAGTCATCATATTTAAGATGAAATCAGTGAATTTTGGGCATTTTTGCATAATAAACAGTAGTGATGCACCGAAATGAAAATTCTGGGCCGAAACCGAAACCGAAAATTTAGGATGCATTTGGCCGAAAACCGAAACGAAACCGAAAATGGCTTCTTTTAAAAACTTCAAATTTTTAAAACACGCTTACTCTATAATTGTGTGTGTATATACAGTGGGTACAGAAAGTATTCAGACGCCCTTAAATTTTTCACTCTTTGTTATATTGCAGCCATATGCTAAAATCATTCAAGTTCATTTTTTTCCTCATTAAACTGTAAACAACATAGCCTAGGTAGCTAGCAGTGCAACACAAATTTTAATGCAACTATGCAAAATTGGACTGCTGTTTAGTTCAACAAACGTGGCAGGTTTTTCTTTAGGAACAAAAGTTGCTCCACTTTTTGGCTCATTAAGCACATGAGATGCTGCACTGAAGAGTCTCTCACCGCTGACATGCTTTGTCGTTGATGGGGAGACGCGTGATATAACAGCTCCAGCGTGAGTGAAACCTATACTGTGCTGCACGAGGATATGATGGGCGGGGCGGTGCATTTTCGGCGTGTTTTTTTTTTTTTTTTATTCCAGCCCGAAATAAAAATGGCCTTTTCGGCCGAAAATTTTCGGTGGCCGAAATTTCGGTGCACCCCTAATAAACAGCCTTAATGATCAAAAATCAGTTCACCAATAAAATATGTAAAATAATTTTTTTGATTTGATTCATGCAGTCAGCTAATTGGTTTCAGGTAGATCAACCCATTCGTACTCTGTTAAAAAAATAAAAATAAAAAATAAGAACACTTAAATCACACCTTGGATCTTACTGAGCAAATTTTCCAAGTTAACCTTTACTTAATGCACATTATATATTTTGTTCAGAACAAAATGACTGTCACTGGAATCTAAACTCATCAGCCCATGGAGCGCTGTCTTCAGAATCGCAATTAAAAAAAAATTGAGATCACAGGCTCATCTAAGCTGTGTGAATTTCATCACAGCTTAGATGAGCCTGTGATTTCAGAAGTGTGTGTGGCCGCCACATGCCTATATTCACTCCTGATGATGTCTGATCATCGTCCTGATGGGTCGGTGGATGGTGTGTCCTAGGGATCTTTTCCCAGACCTGGATCAGGGCATCAGTTAGCTCCTGGGCAGTCTGTGGTGGTACTTGGTGGTGTCAGATGCACCAATTCATAATGTCCCATGTCACAATGGCATCTCTGGACTCTTTCACCAGACTTTGTTCCTTCAAATCCAAGTTGAAGAGTCACATTCTGGATATCTTTTAAGAACAGTGGTCAGAATGTCTGTGCTAATCCAAAGGTTTTTCCCCATAACATCTTATTTGTGTTGTTGCACACAGGTTAATTCATGTTCATTCCTAATTATTGATAGCACTATGGAAAAATCTCAGTTCTGTATACGTTATATAAAATCACTTTAAAAATTTGACTCCGTTTACTCCAGTTGCACCAAAGACCTGAAACAAGAGCAACTAGCTTGGAGTGGTAATGTACTGATGTCAAATGTGGTGCTATGTTTTTCATTCACATGTTTTCCTGATATGATAGTACAGTGTTTCCCCTGGGACTTTTGTCATCAGTGGTGCCGCTGTACATGCATCCACAAGTGCTGGACCAATATTTATGCACATCGGTGGAGGAATCTTTTAAAACGACCATTTAATCATTGTAGACAGGATATTATTGTTCATGTTCACCTTGTCATGTTTTAGTTAATTTACAATGAGATTTAGACATTTGGAGGCCGGGATAGCTATAGTAACGCATGTTTCTTCTCTCATGTCCTCCTCACTGACCTCTGTCTTCTCTTTCTTCCCTTAGTTCCTGTCTATTCAGGGAACACACTTTGTCACTTGGCTGCACAGTCATTACAAAACGGCATTTTTATTCACTCCCCTTTTATAGATGCCAAGTAGAGGTGGGATTTGATAGCATTTATTATCATCTGAATCCAGTCCTCTTATCAAATCTGTTTAAGTAGTTTTTTATTTTACTCAGCACAGCATCAAAACAAATTTACACCATTTTGTGTAATAAAAAATATACTTTAAAATAGCTGTTCTACCTAATTTCTTTTCAGCCACAAGGTATAGTAAAATTCAGGGGTAAAAAAAAACAAAAAACAAATACACAAGTTGCTCCTACCCTCTTTTTTCCCCTCCCATCATGTCCCGTTTCCTAGCAACGACGTAAACTACGACTGCTTGTTTATGACTAACTATACAAAAGGCAGCTTCACTCCAAAGCTGGCCTTAGCTGATTAAATAATTAAATAAATTTGGCAAAGCAGTAGAGCGCTCTGATTACTGATAATGTGACACAAAACTCAAATTAAAGTCATTATTCAATACAAAGGTAAAATCATGACAGTGCCAGATCACTATTGTGATGAAAACAAGCACATTACCTTTAGATGCTAACACATCCAGAAGGAAGAAATTTGAGTCCTTTCAAAACACAAAACTGATGTTAACCCTGGCTTTTAGATCTTCTGTTGTCCCACTTGCCCTGTGCAGAGAACATAGCCACTTCAGCCTGTCAGCCACTGCTTTGGACTATTAGCAGATGAGAGACCCTCCATGGTTGACTGGTTGAAATGACTCCTTAGGATTTGAAGATACTTCTTATAACCTTTGCTAGGTGGTAGGCGTGGCTAATTTACTGACTGTATTTTGAAAACAGTTTAGAAAAGTTGGATTAATCACAGAAACTGGCTATCAAAAAAACCATCCCTACTGCCAAGTGTTTGCACATTAACATTCAAAGAAACAGCCAGTAATTAACTTAAAAGGTGACTAGTTTGCATCTCTACATTGCTTTACTGATCTCAGTTCCTCCATGTTCACTATCATCCTTTCTTTTGTTAATGAGGCAGTCTTTTACTTTCATCTGGAATTTTTAAAAAAAGTGATTAACACGATAAGTGCACGGAGCACAGTTGTACAAGTTTTAGTATGAGTTGAACCTTTGAATTTGGCACCTCAGATGATCAAGATATTAATAAAATACTGTATTTAGATTTTTGCACATTTGTGCATTCATTTTCACTTGCTGACATAGTTTTGTGCTTAAAATTTTTATTTCTCAAAGATGGTTTGAGCACAGATCTTCACTCTGTATACAGAAAGAAATTTAAGTAGTTTTATTGTTATCCTGAACATATGGGGTGCCAGCCTCAGGGAGCTGCAGTGTTTGCACAAGGTTCAGTATTATTCCTAACTGATGTCAGTAATTTGGTACAGCACTGTACTGTATCTGTGCACATATAGGGGAAACTGTAGAAGATGAGCTGCCAAAATGAGGTTTCAGTATTTACTAACCCTTCAATTGCCTTCATCCTACAGGTTTGTGTGCAAGAACAACGGGGTTCTGTTTGAGAATCAGCTGCTACAGATTGGCATCAAGTCAGAGTATCGTCAGAATTTGGGTGAGTGTCTTCACAGAAAAGCATGTTTGACCTGGTGTCTTTTGTCCATACATAGGTGTGGTTTTGGTATTTTAACTAATAAATGTGAATGTGGTTTGGTTCACAGCCAATTTGGCATGGTGTAATTGACACTGACATTATTGACACAGTGCTATGATAATTGGCAGGGTCAGTTTTTTGTTAATTGATAAATGGTCCTGGTCTAGTGTAATTATATAGTAGGCACAGTTTCCCTCGCCCTAACTGCTACATAACAAACAGCACACTGACTTGACTAAAAGAAGGGCAGCCACTGATGAGTAGGCATGGTTTGTCTGTTTGTTCCTAGGCACACTTCCAGTCAATAGCTTGGACACACTTTCCTGTTTAGTTCAGTGGGAAAGTGTCCAAACTTTTCACTGATAGTGTATATGTGACATAGTGACCCTCCATATTTGATACTTTTACTATTTACTCTAAGCTCTCCATAAATCACAAGCCATGTTAATAAAGGTAGGCCAGCCAACCGTTACACATTTTGATAAATTCTGAAGTGCTCAAAAAGCTTTTGGGGAGGTTGTGGAGAGTTCAGATTGTGAATTGAGTTATTGTTAGCCTAACGTTAAGCATATATATAAATATTCAAGCTAGCTTGTTTGTTCATTAGTAACTTAAGTTGACAAGGTATATTGTCTGTGTTGCTGATGGGTAAACATGACTTTTCATATTAAATAATAATAATGGGGATCATGGCTCCCCTGGCTGAAAAACAGGCGAGCACATGCTCTGCAGAAATTCAGTAAAGAGATGGCCATGCCTCCCTATCTCCAGACTTCCCCACCGAGTGTTCTGCACAGTCTGCAACATTGATACTGAGAACAGTCATTGGAGATCCACAGGTTAATAAATGAACATCAAACCTGCATTTTGAGGAATATTTACTGTATGTATTGGTATGTCTTGTGAATTAAAAGGCATAAAACTACAACCAAATTACTAGCTATATATTTACTTCTGCCAAGTGGGAGTTGTGGTGGCGTTTAATGAAAAAAATTTTTTTTAACAATGTGACTCAAAAAGTAATGAATGAATTTTTTCAGGTGGCAAAATAACCACTTAGGTAGGGAATATGTTATCAGTCTATCAAGAAATGGCACAGTAGTCTGTTCACAGGGATGCCAGTATTTCAGCTGCATACTATATCTGCATTTTCACTGTCGGAACCTATTGAGAGGTACACCCCATACTTAAATGTCACCCAGCATAACCTCACAGGTTGACATCAACCATCCCACTTCGCTTTTCCACTATATTTTGTGCAGAATCAGTCTATTTAAAGGAGAGAGGTGCTGCACTACTTTCACAAACAGTCTCAGCAGAGCAGAGGGAAAGCACAGGATGTGAAGAACCATTCCACAGTGCAACAATCAGCCAGTAATAGTGACTATATGAGCAGTTTATCAAACAGCCTTTATCAAACACAAAAACAGTAGGTTTTTGTGGTCAAGCAATGACATTATGAGGGTGAAACCATCATTGGAATATTGCTTTTATGGTATTATGGGGAAACAGAGTTGCCCTTGGTGGAGATTTGCACTCTGAGTGCTGTCGAGTCAGGTATAGTAACATTTCATTCTGGAGATGTAGAACTATAACACTTGACAACTGTGTGTCTCTCTCAGGGAGAATGTACTTATTCTATGGTAACAAGACATCAGTGCAGTTTGCCAGCTTCACCACCACAGTTAGCTGTCCTGGGGAGCTGCAGTCTCATATCCTTTTTGTACTGTTACCTTTAACTGTTTTTGAGTGTGGTATTCAATCATTTCAAAGCAAAGGGTTCAAAATCATCACCTCACTATCATCATTATGTCCAGTATGTGTGGAAAATGTTGAAATCTCAGCTTTAGCAGCTTGCCCTTGTTTAACTGAGAGAGAAATCTTGGTAGAAAACTGTTAGCGCTCCATCTTGTTCTCTTCATATATATACAGATGGAGAGAAGTTATAATGTACATTGATAATTTAAACATTTTAGGCCCCGTCTCTGATGCCATCTACAAGTCAACAGTATCTGTGAGAAACACCTTTAAAGAAAAAAAAAAAAAAAAAAAAACCAAAGTCTTTGTTATTGTTACAAGGCACATTAGCTTAGATTGATTTGATTTGAGCTTGTTTTGTCAAATGGCATGTGCACTGGTAGTTACAGGGAGGAATCTACAGTTCCAATTATTGGTGCCAGCATTAGAAGGAACCTGGTGCACATCTTCAAACTGTATTATCATACTAGGAAATAGAAAATGGCTATAGATGACACTGTTAATATTTTGGTATACCGTAATTTCCAGGCTATTGAGCGCACCTGAATATAAGCCGCACCCACTAAATTTAAAAAGAAAAAATTTTTTGTACATATATAGGCCACACTTGTCTATAAGCTGCAGGTGTACACAGATTTTTTTTTAAAACTTTTAATTAAATAAATGCTTTTTCCGAACAGTGCCTGTAACACGCCTGGTTAAAAAAATAAAAAATCCAGTAGCCTGCCAGAAAAGTCATTGATCACTATCTTCATTTTCCTCCTGCGCACTAAAACCACTAAAGTCAATTCACTGATTGATTCACTGATTCCAAGCTTACGTGCAGCAGTTCTATTTCCTTCTTCGGCAGCCAGATCGATCGCCTTTAACTTGAAAGCTGCATCATATGCATTTCTTCGTGTGTTTTCCATGATGAGGGTGTTTGCATGAAGCACAAAATGACTGATCTGAAGAATGTAGTGTGAGTGTATTTGATGTAATTCGATTTAAATTTAAAAAAAAAAATTTTTTTTTGTTTTTTTTGGAAAACAAGAAATATGTCGGCCAGTGCAGCAGTGTGCATCCCTGGTATGATTTGATACTTTTTGGCCAACAGTGAAGGTCTACAGCACAGATCAATAAGCTAAACCACGTTCTGGAGTTAGACTTTACAATGACTACACCATAATCATTGTTTGTTTTATTCGTTGTATGGTATTTGTGGAAAATAACACAGAAAATCACCAGTCAACGTCAAAAAGCATCACAAAGCTGCCTTAGAAAACTTGGTTTGTTTTGGTTCTATTTTTCCATAAGGCAACCCACATAACATGCATTCAAAAAGGATAAAAGAACATGGATTCAGTCAAATCTGAAAGTACAGTACGTACAAGTGCAAGAGGGTGTTTTCACACTTGGTTCCTTTTTAAATGAACTGAACTCGGTCGTCTTTAAAGTGGACCAAAAAGAGGACCAACAAAAAAGGGTCTTAGTTCTCATTGTGTTCACACTGTGAGTACATTTGAAAGAGGGCTTGGTTCTCTTTCTAGCCTCAGTCTTCTGTTCAGGCTATAGTGACTCTGGAGCTCTGACCTTTACATATGGCTTTTATGTCAAAGGATTATTTATTTTATCTCTTTTTATTGCATGTGGTGAAGTACTTTTAAAATATTTTTTTCACTTTGAATGCAGCACTGCTATGGGGTCTTAATGAAGGAAACCCTGAGCATGTCTGTGCATTATAGACAGTTGTAGTTTGATGTGTTCTTTGTTGAGCCCACCTCCTGAGGGGGTCTCAGTTCAGTTCATTTCAGCTGGGTCCAAGATATTTGGGAGTGTTCACATTTATGAAAAAAAAGAATGCTGACATCGCTCTGAGCTCATTTCGAGGGCTGAAATGGACCAAGTGTGAAAACACCCAGAGATGATACAAAACAATCAACAACCTGGTCTATGCTGATTCTGTGAGGCATGGAGCACACTGCTCATAGCTGGAGGTCAGCCTGTGTGATGTCTTGATGGCCCTTGACAATTGGCCACAGCTTAACGTTCAGACCAAACCAGTGGAACCTCTGGTAGAGGGTGGAGCCCAGATCCAGCAGGTCCTCAACATCGAATGTCTGTCCGACTTTTCTGAAGCCCCCCTGCTCAACATCAAGTTCAGGTAAGTTTATACAACCAAACCCAAACTCTAATGGTGAGCAAAGAGAGTCAGTGAGAATTAGTTTGATAGTTTGCTTGAAAAAGTGTTTTCAAGATAGGGATTATAAAATAGGACTGGCACAAAGGTCTGAGTATCACTTGTAATGAAAATCAGTTATTTTCACCAGTGTCTTGATTTTCAGCACATTTTTAGTGTAATTTTAGTTTTCATTTCTTTCATTTAACAAAAAAGCTGCTGTACATTTATCAAAGCTAAAAGTTGTATAAAGTCCCCATGGCATGCTCATTTTGCTCATTTCCAGCCATTTAATGTTTAATCTTGGGTACCTCTAGATTAGCTTGGCACCCCTCATAACTCCAAATAGTTTTGTTTCAGAATCAGAGAGCCAAAAAGCATTTTCCTTAAAACAAGAGGATAGTTCATGAACACACACAACTCCTGCTGCTGGTGTTGTCGCAAGTGGACAGCACAGTGAACTGCAGTGGCATTAATTAATATGAATTTGTCTTCCATAGATGCTGTAGGTAAACAACGTATATGTACCGATGAAAAGAGATGTGTAACACTCTAAACAAAGCAAGTAATTGAGAAACCCCATATTGTAACTGGCATAATGCAGACATAGTAACTTCTCCAGCCTTACAACAATTCTCTCTAATGTTACAGAAACAAGGCCTTGACAGACATACAACGTGTGTTTTTTAAATTTACCATTAAGTCCCACCGAGTAGTGGAAACATGACTCCATTTCAAGTAGCTCCAAGGTCGGTAAATCCAACCATTGGTCACTGGGTCTTCCCCCACACGACCACATACATTCCCAAAGTGGTGAAATTAATTCCAACAGGTAGTAGAGCCAATAATAACATCATGGGTTGTTAATCCGCTCATTAACCAGCAACACATCACATGCAGCAGACGGTGTCCTTAAGCAGTCAAAACGGATACTGTGCTCCAGGGGAATCCAGCATTGATTTTATGCCCATTCAAGGAGGTCCTTAAACTATCACGTAGACCTTTATTTTGGTAGAAAAAAAGTCTTGCGAGCGAGAGTTTGTGTGATTTTGTATAAACAGCTACTTGTATATAGAAATACTGGAACATACTTCATTTTTTGAGCTTTAGGTCACATCTAAGATGAGAATTCATTGTTGTAACATCGTAGATGAGTCAAAAAACAAGGAAAATCACACAAGCTGTCATACTTGTGTAAAATACAGACCTGCATTGGTCAGTTTGTGATTTAAATAATGAACTAAGTATAAGCCAGCAAAATTGGTATCTCACCAGAAACATTTTTACTCAATGCCAAGTTCTGGCACTTGACTTTTGATTATTGCTACTAACACATTTTGTTAAGATGCTGAATTTGATAGCCGGCTTTGCTCTTAACATTGATGTTAACCAGCTGGCATGTTTAAGGACAAATCTCTTTTGCATGTTCCATCATAATTAACAAATCACACTGTGCACTGAACTGATGTAACTCAGAAACAGACAGCCCATCTCTTCATGTGCAAAGTGTTTTTGTAGACATGATTCAGATCATTAAGACCATCTAGTGTGCAAAAAAGTAATTAGAACTGTAGTTCTCACTGGAGTGTTGGAATGAGACATCAATCCTGTTGAAATTGAGCTATAGATAAAACATGCAGACAGATTTGTAGACCTACTGTGTCTGTGTGTGTGGGGTGACGTTCAGATACGGAGGAGCTCTGCAGAACTTGACCCTCAAGCTCCCTGTCACCATCAACAAGTTCTTCCAGCCCACAGAGATGTCCTCTCATGACTTTTTCCAGCGCTGGAAACAGCTTAGCCAGTAAGTGTGTGTGTTATGTGTTTTGTCACTGCATTTATAAGGTTTACCATGGGCTCTGGTTGGTCTGCTTTAGCCATGCCGTGTCAAGACTAGACATTATCACATGCGCTTCCACTACTGTGGTCCTGGTTGGTATCAAAGGCACAACCAACCTGCGATAGCCTGCTCCCTGTCTGAACAGCTGAGACTACAGAGAAAATGTCGCTTTTTAAAATTGTCTCTGTCCTCAGGACTTATGTAGCTTATACCTGAATCTCTGAGATTTAGTTTATTAGTCTAACCTCTGTATTTCTGTTTCTACTTCTACACATCAGCATTATTTTACAGTTTACTGGGTGATTTCAGATGTATTAGAGCTGTCTTAAGGACTGCTACCACCCCCCACCCCCACACACACAATTCAAAAAATGTATTGGGTTCCGTTGGAAAGCTGAAGTCTCTTGTGTGAACTCTCCTCAGGCCTCAGCAAGAAGCACAAAAGATATTCAAGGCCAACCACAGCATGGACACTGAAGTACTTAAGGCTAAGGTACGTCTACACTGAACAGCTCCTTCTTGCAATGCTTGTGTTGTTTTTAAGATGAAGTGTAGGGTATTTGATCTTGTGTATAATGAAAAAGAAACCAGATGGGCTATATTAAAAATACAGGTCCCAAAGTACAACCTAAAAAAAAGTTATTTTATCTGTGAGTGCCGCAGCAAACACCAGTTTAATTTGGGCAGAGTTAACTGGGAGTAGGCACCTGTCAGACCTGACAGAACAGGAGCATTTTGCTCAAGAAGAGCTTAGTTGGGCAAGTCTCTTTATGAACTACAAAAATTGCTTGATTGCAGTGATTGTCTCAAAGGGGTGTGGCACAAAATATTGGCTTATGGATCCCATATTTGTCCATGTCATTTTTATTTGTTATATTATTTTGACTAATATGTTGCATCAAAAAATGTCTTTTTTTTATGTGGCTTGGTGGGTGCCAGTTACCTTTGTCAATTTCAACATCCCCCAAAGTGGAAGGGTACCAACCAACCAGGCCACAAATTTTATAATTTGGCCACCTTGGCTGACAAATATAGAGGCTTTCATGGCCAAATGTAGGCACAACGTCAGCCATGGCTGTAAGGCCTACGCAAAGTTTATACCCTGGTACACTTTCAGCCACGTCTGTATTGACAAGGTTACTCCTTTGCTTTTGACTGTCTGAATTCCTGTCATGGTTTCCTTCTTTCTTTCTTTGTGATTTGTTTGCGTGTAGCTACTGGGACTAGGAACGGCCCTGCTGGACAACGTCGATCCAAACCCAGAGAATTATGTGTGTGCTGGAGTGATCCAGACAAAGAGTCAGCAGGTTGGCTGTCTGCTAAGACTGGAGCCAAATGCCCAGGCACAGGTACCACACACAGCTCACTCAAATGTTTGGAAGATGTTAATCATTCTGGTTCAGGGTACCACTATGAGTAAATACTAGAGGTGCCTCATGCAGCATACACAGCAGCTCACATTTCAAGCTAAATGTAGAGTTTAATCAAACACCTGTCAGCTAACCAGAAACGGTTGGTTCTGATGTTATTATGCCTTTTAGATGAAAAATGTTCTCTCTTCCTCCCTTAACTGTGGATGGAGAGTAGGTAAAATGTTGAACTCAGCTGTATATGTGTAGACAGTTTTCCAGTGCTGGTCCTGTCAGTTCATTAGAAACAATTTTTATGCATTCTGGCTCAATTCTGAAATCAGGTTGTGCATGTAGAACAGTGTTGGTGCCTGAGCAGTGTGGCTGTAAAATGTGATGCTTTTCAGTATGGTCTGATCACAGCTGAGGTATGAAGAGGCAACAGAGTAGGTCCACTTGCTTCTCTTTTACTGAGATGTGACCCAGGGCCAGAGTAAGGCCGAATATATATTCATCAGGGTTAGGATGCCGTTATATTGGTGCTAGGTGTATCTCCAAAATGCTGGCCCTCAGTACAGGAACACAAGCCTGTAAACATGCACTGTCATCACCACTGAGCCAAGTATGTTTCTGTTTCAGGCATGCATGGCGCCCCTAATGTTGACTTGTTTACTGTTGGTATTTACTTATTGTTTTACTTCTATAGTATAGCATTTATAGTTATGTATCAGACTCTATGAATCAGAATAATTGTTCTCCAAACTGTGTGTATGCAGATGTACCGCCTGACTCTGCGCTGCAGCAAGGACTCTGTGTCCAGACGTCTGTGTGAGCTGCTGGCCCAGCAGTTCTAGTGTCCAGACCTCCACCATGACCAGTACTCCCACCATCCCCACCAGCGAGCCCTCCTGCCACACCTCTCCGCCTCCCTCCTACAAAGGATCTTTGAGTACAAAAAAGGTGTAACCTACATAAGGGAAAAGCAGCCGCTGCTAGCAGCAGCAGCAATATTATTGTCATTATTCTTGTCCCAGATTCTGGTTCCAGTTCATTTTCTGATTGTTTATTAACATAATGCTACATTCTTGTTTTTGTGGGTGTTTACCTGTGTAGCCGGTGTGTGTGTGTGTGTGTGTGTAGCCAGGAATGTGCGTCCCACAGTTGTGCTGGGGTTTTATTCTGCGCCATCCTGACTGCTCTGTAACAGGGAGAGATTTTCATTTGCAATGGCAGAACATTCCTTTAAATCAAATGGGAGAAGCTGTTTGTTGCACACACATGCACACATGATTCCTCCATTCCTCATGGGAACCCACTAATGAAGTGAGATCTGAGGGTCCAACACTCTTTTTGCCTCTCCCCACTCATTTATATCAAGCATTCTTACTGAAAATGCACTTAAAGTATTGGGGTCCTCGTTGAGACCCTCCAGCATGAGCACCCTTACTTTTCTTCTAAATTACTTGCTTCCTCTTGAGAAGCCCTTTAATAGGCCTTCATTTCAATGAATTAGTACATTTTTGTTATTGATGTGTATGTAAATATGTGCCAGTTGATTACTTTGTGTTCTGAAACATTTCCATCATACTGGTTTCGAAGGATAGCACAGAATGGGGACACTGTGTAGGTGATAGGTAGTGGGATGACACCTGCGCTGTTAAAATTGTCTATAGATCTGTTTGAGTTTGACTCGTCTGCTGCCTGGGAGTTGGTTCCAGGAGCTTGTCTTTGAAAAGCTCACAAAGGTGAGATCTAGGCATGCTCTAGTTTTGTAAGAGACCTCAGAGATGAGAACTAACTGGTTAATTGCTGAAAGTATGTCCAGTTAAGTTCCCCACCTCCGATAAAGAGCAGTGCACAGCTGCTCCCCTAAGCTTTTGAATGAGAAGCACCTGGGACTGTGGGTAAGACGGATCCAAATAAGCTTTACAGCCTCTTTGAGCCTCCATGGCTCCAGAGGACACTGCTGCTGGTTTAGGTTGCTGCACCATTTTCTTTTTGGAGTCGTGTTGATTTTCTTTGCAAGGAAGTGCACAGTCTTAGCTGTGGTTAGAACAGAGGCACCATAATGAGCAGCAGGATAAAGCAGTTTAGGCATAGTGATGCTCTTTGCAAATGCTGCTGCTGCTGCAGCAGCTGAATCCAGAACCCACATAGGTTAAGAGCCAGTTCCGTCCCAGGCAGCCAAGCACTTAGAGAAATCGATGCGAACAAATCCGATGTGTACACAACCACTACACTAAGCATTTGGAGAATACTCAGATGTTCAGCAACCTTAGAATGTTCATGCATTTGAAGCTTTTTAATTCTTTTCGGGCTTCCTGTCACACACAAGTACTAATGTTGTGGGAGAGGACAGGATGCAAGACACCCAGATGTCCATGACAACTACAGGGGACTCTGTATGTGTGTGAATGTGAGCGTGACTGTAAGCAGGTAAAAAAAAAAAAAAAAAAAAAAAAAAGCCTAAAGACATTTCTAATACATAGTCACATTACATTCTGTGGCTGCACGGCAATCACAGGGCATTGAAATTTGTAGTGGAAAATGTAGTCATTTTGTCATTCTGTGAGTGTGTATGTGAGTTTGTATGTGTGTGTCTATGCAGTATCCACTAGCTAATGCAGCCTCATGTATCGGTGTTAAGAACCTGTCCAATACCTGTGTAAGAATTAAAATTTACTCTGTAATGAAACAATGTGAAAGTAAAATTCTGCCATATATCTGACATGACACCTCCTGTCGTTTGTCACACTGAAACACGATGACAGCAGGTGGTCAACAATACTGAACAAGTCTGAGGAAAAGTCCATCTTGTTCAGTATAGAAAGGACGCTCTCCATGGCGGGCAGGGCGAGGCCCAGTTGCCGAGTGTTACTAATGTTGTTTGGCAGTGGATCTTCTAGTTCATCTGACCATTTTAACATCAGCATGACTTCACAACATACATCTATCTGACTGTATTAATATGGCTGAGCTGCAGCAACAACTCGACCATCCTCACAATCAACATCTGGGCTCCACTGTGAAGAACATCCCCATGTTGCACTGTCAGCCCATATAAGTTGAATTGACTTATTTGAGGAAACTGGTTGCTTTAAAATTTTTAAGTAATGTGCAATGAAAACTTGAGTGAATTTAATTAAAACATGTGAGGGGCTTGACTTGTTTTCATTTCAATACACTAAATGCCAAGTTTATTCAACTTAAAATTTTGTTGCCCCATTATTCCATTTAGAAATTTAATTGCACTAAATTCCAGGTTGATTGAACTTAAAATAAGATCAATTGCTTTATCCAATCATTTCAATTAATATCTTAAGGTAAAGCGAGTAAAATTGTATTTCAGTTCTTCATTTGACATGAACTGACTTAAATACAATTTTACATGAAGAACTTGGAACTGTTGCTGTTGCTGGATGCAGTCAGTACAAAGACAGATGCAAAGGTTCCCCAAATGACTATTTAATACAACATCAAGTGTAAGGGGTAGAGACTGAATTCAGTACTAACCTGCATCATGGTTTGCATTGTTTTCATTATTATGAAAAAACAGCTATGACTTTAATATAGCCTATTTTACAAACACAGGGAACATTTCCACCATGAAAATGGGCTCTTCAAAATACAAATGGAGTTTGTGAAGTGTTGTAAATCTCTGGCAATGCTGTGAGGTATGTTAATTTTGTTTCTTTGCAGACTTCAGTTGAGTGAACTTATCATCAACTTTATTTATATAGCACATTTAACACAGCCGAAGCTGACCAAAGTGCTTAACACAATATCCACAACACCCTTAAAAAAAAAAACAACATAAACAGCAAAACAAAAACATCATACTTAAAACAACCCCCTATCATAAATCACAAGCTCTACAACTCAACAAGACACAGGATCATACTGGTTCGAATGCCAGACGGTACAGATGAGTCTTCAAATAGGTTTTAAAAAGCCGATCTGAGGCACCGGGAGGGGCTATAGGGATGTAGCAATTCTGTAAGATAAAGGGGGGCCAAACCATTTAAAGATTTAAAAACAAAAGAATCTTAAAATGGATTCTAAAACGCACCGGCAGCCAATGCAGGGAAGCCAAAATGGGTGTGATGTGGTCACTTTTACGCCCTCCAACCAATAGACGAGCAGCAGCATTTTGGACTCTCTGGAGGCGGACAAGGGCGACCTGACTGAGCCCAAAATATAGTGCATTACAATAATCCACACGAGACGTAATAAATGCATGTATTACCGTCTCAAAATGCTGCCGTGAAAGAAAGGGCTTCACCTTTGCCAGTTGCCAGAGGTGATAAAAACTGGCCTGTACAACTGCATTCACCTGACATTCCATTCTAAGAACAGAGTCTATTTTAACATCAAGGTTAGTAACGGTGGACCGCACGTACCATTCCAAGGAACTGAAATCAACTGGGGGAAAACCACCAGAGTTATATGGACCAAACACTATAACCTCGGTCTTCGTATCATTCAACTTCAATAAGTTTAAGGTCATCCACTTCCTAACGTCATCAAAACATGACAATAGTGATGCAACTGATGATGCGTCCCTTCCCCTCAGTGGCAAATACATCTGTACATCATCCGCAT